GGCCGAAGGCATCAAAGAGCGCAGCCCGGGCATGGGCAACACACATGTCGGCCGTTGATCGAGGAAGGCGACCTGCATGAGAGAGGGCGGGGTAAGTTCGACAGGCTGCCACATGGCCAGCAATGTGTCCCATGTGGGAGGGACGCACTTTTGGAGGTGCTCGGCGTGCGGAGCTGGCTGAGCGGCTGTGGCTGTCGAGTCATCTGAAAGAGCGCATAGCGAACAACATCCTTGACACGCGACTGCATCTCCTCGTCATGGTGGGGCTCGGATCGCTGGTATTGGCGCTGCAGGGCTGGGTCCTGGGATTCAAGGTCCGAAGGGGCATCGTCGAGGATGTTGCGGTCGCGTTTCCGTGTCGGGGCCGGAGGATAGCGGTTCATGGGATTTCCGGATGCACCTCGGCGCGAGGTAGAAAGCGGAAGAGGGGGGGGGGGGGGGGGGGGGGGGGGGGGGCGCCACAGGAGGAGAGACTGCCCAAGCAAGGAGCTCCAGAGCCGGGTGCCAGGCGCCCCTAAAGGTCCCCTCGGTGTGTTCCCCCGCCTCCCCGCCCCCCCCCCCCCGGCGGTGAGGCTTCGGGATCGCGGATTGGCCATGCTCCAGGCCCTGGCGAAGGCAGGCCGAGGAACGGTCCCTCCCGGGGCCGGGCGAGTGCCAATGGAAGCAGGCAGTGCGTTGTGAGCGATCGGCCTTGAGCTGTGTGGCGGCCTGGTCACGAGATGGTCACGCGCCATCTTCGCAGAAAAGCTCCCCTCGTCGCCCCGCCCCCCCCCCCCCAGCTGCGGCCCGCCGCCCCGGGCCCGGTACCCCTCGCCGCGTTGTTCCAGGCGGTCGCGACCCATGTCCAAGGTGCCCGCCCTGGGCGCCCCCCTGCATGGGCCTCTGTCCGCGATCATGCGCCTCGCCTCCGCCCTTGAAAGAGGGGGCCTCAGCCTTGTCTGGAGAGTGAGGCAGGGCATGCTGGGGCGCCATGCACCTGGCCGATGCTGCTACTGGATGGCGAGCAAAGGAGGATAAGCCAGTGTGTGTGTGGGGGGGGGGGGGAGACATGAACGGTGGCTTGATGTCTGTTTTGTATTTTTTCCGTCCAGCCAGGGGCCTTCTCGGCGACGACATAAACAGGGGCGCGAGGGAGATGGGGAAGGAGGGAGACCCGCCGGGCACATGGATATGTGCGCAAACGCGCAGGCACCATCGCACAAGCGACGACACGCAGCAGCCCTGTGTGTGTGTGTGTGTGTG